CCCCCCCCCCCCCCCCCCCCCTTTTTGGACATCTCTGGATCCGCCCCTGGCTAGTGAAAGGGATTGAGGACCAGTAAAAATATTAATTCACTGGTCCACTTGGCTAGTTAAAAAAAACCTTAAGGGAAACCCCTGTATATCATATCCAATCAATAATTTTACCCTTGGTATGTTTATATTAAAACTGACTTAGAGGGATTAATATTAGTCTTAATTCAAAGCCAATGTTTTATTTTGTTTAGAGTATTTTATAAAAGTCAGCTAAGCTATTCATTAAAATCATGCCCTGGGCTTTTACCCGAGAAAAGGTTGGTGCGTAAAATTGGGCGTAAATTAAGGTGTGGGCTTATACCCGAGGAGCTACAGTAATAAAGAAAACATATGAATTAGACATGCATATTTTAAATGAGGAACTAAATTACTGGACATACTATAATTTTTTAAGTTGTGTGAAAATCAGGGTATTGTAAAATAAGTATTTAAAAGTATACAGAGATCATGGATTTGTACTTTTCTGGTCAAATAAAGAGTTAAACCAACCGCTTTTGAGTCAAAATTTTCTGCATTTCTTCCTTCTTTAAATTTGATTTATATTGAAATTTGCTAATACACTGTATATAAATGGGTATGTCAGGTAGAATGAGAATTCCTATGTATAGTTTATGACATCGTGACCTCTGACCTGCAATAAATTTTAATACATGAACCATCAAAGTCATTGCTTTGTCGCTGAGGGTCAGACATGACATTTTATTCTACAGATACTTTGAATATGATATCCTTAAGTTTGGCTTGATAAATGGCGTGTTAATTGACAATAGCTGCGATGATACTGTTTCAGGCGTGTTTTGATAAACGTTGTCCAATCCTAGAACATGTTTTATACGTCTGAGGCATGTTTTGATAGGCGTAGTCCAATCGTAGAACATGTATCATACTGTTTTCAAGAGTCTGTCGACATTCTTGAGTTGTTATTTCATAGTGGAGTTATTTTAGTATCAACAATAGCGATGCTTTAAAGTTGTCTTGGAAGACCTATACATTTCATCATTATACCATATTCTGGCTATTTTTAAATATTGAAAAAAAAAACTGTACTTTTGTTTGTTAATGCATTTTTCTTTGCATCATTCATACTTGTCTAAGTGCAATACACTTAATGTTATTTTTAGAATTTGTAAATGTTTTTAAATGTGGCAAGTAATTATAAATTTGATATTACGAAACACATAAACATTTATTTGTGACATCTATTGATGTATTATCAAGTTGAATTCTAGTAACATCTGGAGAGCTCCCTGGAAATACTATTAAACATTTAATTGCTTATAATAAAATGATCATAAAATCTATCAACATTCAATGACGACACATCAAAACAATTCAGTTATTGCTGATTTTCAGATATTTTACAACAAAAAATCTTAAAGTCGATTGCCAGCTAAAGATCTATTAAAATATATTGTAATGATAAACTTTACGCCTGTGTATTCTCAAGGAAAATATTTGCTTCAAGTTCTAATTTTCAATTTGGAAGTTATAGCTTACAAAAAACGTTATTAAATTTCTTAGCTCAATACTGATATCTTTATTCATACAATACATGTACAAACTTATAAAATCTTGAATGAACATGAAATTCCTAAGTTTGCATCATCCATAGCATATGGTGTGTAAGTAGGTTGAAGACAATTACGTTGAGTGACAAGCTTAGTCTCGAGTAGAGCACTGAAATTGTCAATTTAAATTAAGTACTGTACACACTTAATCGAGAAAAATCCCAACACAGACAAAAGACAAAAATTTAAAGAGGAAACTTAATGGAGAAAATACTACATTAGACAAAAGACACAGATTCTGTAGGGGAAGGGAGGAATTTTGTCTTTAGAAGTAGCTTTGATTCAGGAAGCTGCTGTAACTGCTTATACATTTAAAGTGGCTTCGTAGGCATACTAAATCAAATTTCATTGGACAAAAACATATGACATGCCTAAATATGGTCATGACGACATGACATCATGACCATATATAGGTACATCATGACTATATATGGGCATACAACAGTAAGATTGACATACAGTATACAAATGATTCAATGAGGACGACTTCGATGTAGGATGAAACCTGTACGACGAGTAATGAAAATTGAAATACCGGTAACCATGGATACCTAGCATAGATACGACCTAGATATTCTTAATCAAGAGTTTAATGTCAGATGCATCTTGTTACACATTATTTAACTTCTGAAATTTGCAATATTTTTTGCCGTTTAATTACCTTCCAAGTTCATAGTTTTGACATGCAAGGCACAGAATAGATTTAAATGTTGTAAATGTTTTCGGGTGCATATGGAGAATAATTTGCTGATTTTCATTTAAAGATAGCAAGCTGGTGATTGCAGTCTGGCTTTCTGATTGGAAATTAAACATCGTATAAAACTTGATCTCATATTTAACATAAGATGTGTATAAGAGACAGTATATATATGTAAATATCTAAAACTCAATTCAGAAATTTCAGGAAGTAGCGATTTAAAAAAAAATTTGGTCTATTTCCTTGATGTAAAATTAACATGTTTATTTTTCCTTCTTTCATTTTAGTTTTATAGTACCCTGGGATCAATTGATTATGTTGTTGAAGCTAACAAAGAAGTTGTCATTACAAATTGGTGCCCTATTGGTCAGAAGGGCAAATGCTACGAAAAACACTCAGTCACTCCCTTTAGATGTTTTGGTAAGTTGATTTTTTTTTCTTTGAATATAAAATAAACACTCTAAAATTCGACTCTACAGATACTACAACAATGTGTCTTTTTTATTTGAATGGGTAAACTCCACATTTGGCTTTCAACGCTTGTTTAATTCTGGTACCATGTTCCATTAATGCAAAAAGGGAAGTTACTTGGTGATATAAACCATACTTACTGTAAGACTGTATTGACAAACATGCAGTGGCGTCAGAGTTTGTGGGGCCTTGGCACTGACTTATTGGGGCCCTAATATGCGAGCGTTAAGTTTGCGAGCGGAGTGAACAAACAGATGTTTGGGGCCAAGGGGGGCGTGTAGGGTCCTGGTCGGGGTCCAAGGGTTAAGACCCTCTGATGGGGTAAGAGGGGGGCTTAGCCCCTCCGCGCTCTGAGCTTATGGAATTTATGAACTGTTAGCTGCATTGTCAGAGAACACAAGAATGGTCCATGACTGATGACATACTTCAGACATTTTTATGACAAAACCAACATAGATTATATTGGCCAACTTTCGGAACTGGTATAGGCCTACAGTAGGCATATGTACTCTATGTAGATATAAATAAATACAAAGAATATTTTTTAGTGAGAAATAAAACATGTTTTAATAACGTATATACAAACTGGTCATGTGCGACATCGATTAAGTGTGGTTCGCAAGAAAAAAACCGCAACATAAACAAAGAAACTGCAGCGATCGTTTATAAGAGCCCTGAGATAACGCGGGTTTTATGTATGATGATGCCAGGACAGTGTAATTTCAATGTTGTTAAAAACTGTCGGGCCCTATTGAATGAAGCTATGGTATTATAATTAAATTTTTTTTAACTACAATGTCGGGGCCTCTCATGCCTGGAGCCCTGGCGCTCCGCCCACCGTCAGTGCCCGAGCGTGATGCCACTGCAAACATGTAGGAATACAAATTAAGATTTTACTCTTGTTTAAATCTGGTACCAAGATCTATTAATGCAAGGGAAAGTTACTTAGTCATTACTTATTCTAAGATTTTGTTGGCAAAGATACAAGAAACCAAAATAAGACTTAACTCTTGTTTAAATCCGGTACCCAATTTCATTATTGCGGTGGGAAGTTACTTTAGTTAGATTAACTATACTTCAGTAAGAATTTATGCCAACATATTGTATGTGATACTGGAAAACAAAATATGATACATGCCAGGGTGAAGTATTTAAGATGAAATTCAATTCAAGAAAAAGAGTATTTAAACAGAGAATGCAAATTTGTTTTATCTTTTATTTCAGTTGGTGAATTTGTAAGTGATGCGTTAATGGTACCTCAAGAATGCCGCTTTTCTCACATGCACGAAAACGGTGTCTGTTTGAGCCACGACGATTGGCGTGACCGGGCTGCGGCAGACTGTGGTCCGAACAACTGGACATTGCATGACTACGGAATGCTTCTGCCATGTAAGCCTGCCAATTACAGTGGTGTGGAGTTTGTATGCTGCCCTCCTCCAAACAGACCAACACCAGAGGTCACCAAGAGTTTACCAGGTTTGTCATACTGCGTTCCTCCATTTTGTTTTATGTTTCTCATCAAACTTTTGTAATATTTACTGTTTAATTCTGTTTTATTATTCTTTTTTTTTTCCCTTTTTTTTTTAGTTTATGACCTCTTAGAGGAGATCAGTACTGAGGCATTTAGAGAAAATATTAATAAGAATGAATGAATTAATGAGCGAATGTGTAATAGTATGACTAAATTAAGTAAACTAATGAATGGGTATGGCTGACTGCATATGAATGAATTTGTAAGTAAATGAATGACTATGTTAATAATGAATGAAGAAAATGAGTAAATTAATGATTGCGTGATTTAATGAATGAAGGGCTGAATGAATGGGTATGTGTATGAAAACCTATACCTGTCTTGAATGATTAAATGACTGAATGTCTTGAATAATGAGTGATTAAAAGATAATAGTAACTGTAATAAGTGAGTCAAATGAACAACTGATTGAATGAATGATTATGTTAATAAGCTTTGTAGGTTGAACTGATCTTGCCCATACCAAGGTCAATGAACATACACCACTGATCTATGGAACAAACATACACACAACGTAGGTTAATGTCGATTCACCTTTGATACTGCCATGCGTAGTTCTAACTATGAATTAGCGGCTTGTATATAAAAAAATTTCTTCCTTTTTCCAAGTCTACCTGTACAGTATCATAAACATGCAATAACAAATAGAACTCAACACATATTAAACTAATTTTTTTGAATTTCTTTTTGAATTCTCATAAAAAAGATAGTACCTGTTACATTAAAAAAAATGTTATTCACTGCTGTTTTTCCCACTAAGAGAAAAATTTGACATCGTATCGCAATTTTCAGTGATTTATCCGGGCAATTCAACAGCATTATGCGAGCCTTTAGCACAAGTACAAGCATAAATTTGCCGCAACGATCGCATAGTCTTTTCTATTAGTCTGAATTACACTAGACTAGAATCTGCATATAAGGGGCTAAGAATCTGACCATTTGATTGGTCGACGCTAGCCGCAGGGATAAGGTGTAAGTTATTTGATGTCCATTAACTGGCTACTTTACCGATGGGTGTCTACAGTACAGAGATTTTATTTTTATAATCTTCATATTTACAGTCGTAGCGAACATTATATTTATGATACCAAACTAATCATAGTTATTATAATACTAGTACTGATAATTTATGATCAGATTCATACAAAGAGATTTTATTTTTGTAATCTTTATATTTAGAGTCTTACTGAATATCATGATTATGATACCAAAATAACCAGTTATTTTTAATTTATCAAATTGATTCTAAGACATTTTATTTTTATAATGTTTATATTTTAGTTAGAATATTATAATTTTGATACCAAAATAATCATTGTTATTATAATAATATAATTTATCAAGTTGAATCAATGAGGTTTATTTTTATAATCTTTATATTTAGAGTCGCAGTGAATATTACCAAATCGCAGTCGCAGTGACTATGGTACCAAATTAAACACTTTATCATCAAATTGATTCAAAGGAGATTTTATTTTTATAATCTTTAATATTTAGAGTTGTAGTGAATATTATAATTTTGATACCAAAATAATCATTGTTATTATAATAATATAATTTATCAAGTTGAATCAATGAGATTTATTTTTATAATCTTTATATTTAGAGTCGCAGTGAATATTACAGTGTGATTATGGTACCAAAATAAACATAGTTATTATAATAATATACTGCACTTTATCATCAAATTGATTCAAAGGAGATTTTATTTTTATAATCTTTAATATTTAGAGTTGTAGTGAATATTATAATTTTGATACCAAAATAATTGTAGTTATTACAATAATATAATTTATTATCAGATTGATTTGCATCGCAAAAGTAAATGAAGCCAAAAAATAATCGAAGTTATAAAAAAAATAATATATTGTCAAAATTGATTCATGAATAATCCTTGCTTTGTACTGGCATACAAAGCCAAAATAATGAATATCAAACACCGTAATTGATTGTATTCTAATATATGTATGATAAAAATAATGCTTCACATCTAAAGCTAAGTGAATTGAAAGCTCTCTTATATCCATCCGTCCATTTGCTGAAGGTTTTGGGGCGATGTGACATTGTTTTATTCTAATGAATAAAACTTAATTAGATGTATAGTGATATTGATCTCATAATCTTGTTAATTTCGTTATTTTAAAGATACTATATTTAAAGTATTTTTTTTTTCTGTTAGTGAAAGACCCTGGTGGACATAGTTTGCTATTCTTTTATTATTACCTGTTTATATTATAATATTAGTTATTCAATATATTAAATGTCTATATAAAATGTTACCATCCTGAATTCATCAGTTGTGATTGGCTGTGATATACCATGTAGCCACCAGTGGCGGTGCCAGCTTCTGAAATCTTGGGGGGGGGGGAAGGTGAGGGG